CAACTGCCTCCTTAATGACTTCCTCTCTTCCCTCTTCCCTTCAATTGGCTTCTTCCTTGTAGCCTATAAACATGTCTCATTCATATTTTAAACACAAAAATCCAAGTTTTCCAAATATTTGCTTCCCTCTAGCTGTTGCACTCTGTCCTCCTTCACTGTAAACTTCTTGAGAAGTTGTCTATGTTTTCTGACTTCACATCCTCACCTCATTCACTCCTCACAGAAGACACTTTCTAGAACTCATCATTCTCAAATGGTGCCCACCAGCATTTGCTAGTTCCTTCCTTGAAACTCTTTATCTTGTTCTCTGAGGCCTTGGTCCAGACCCTAACGACCCAGAGAAGAATCAGATGTGGCTCCTTCATTAAGCCGCATCCCCACTTTTGGTCTGGGCGACAGTGACAGCTCTCCCTGCTTTCCAGCCAGACTTCAAGCTATCCTTGCTCATATCCTCCCTTCTCTCACTGTCCCTTTCCTGTACTCTTCAACCCTCTGTGAACTGGCCCTGCTCCAATGCTCCACTGCGACAGCTTGTGTCAAGCTTACCAATGGCTTCCCTGTTGATAAACCCAATGGACTTCATTCAATCCTTGTCTTACTAGAACATTGTTGAACTTGCCATCCTAATAGAAATTCTCCTCTCTTCTATTGGCTACTGTGACAGTTATCTCAGGGCTCAAGCTTACGCCATCCTCTTTCTCCCTGGTTGGTTGCATCTAGTCTCATGGCTTTGAATAGCAGCCATGTGGTGGGACTCTCAGTCTCCATTCCCAGCCATGCCTCTCCTCCCTTGCACCCTAGAATACTTGCTCAGTGGTTCAATTCTCCAAGGTGTAGAGCCTATTTTGTCCACTCCATTATCACCTTCTTGAAATAGGAGCCTTGCTCTGCCATGCGTATCTGGGGCTGGGCTCTTGCTTCCTGGTCAGACACTTCCTAGGTACTGTTCAAGATCTTAGGGATACCAGGTGTGCTTGCACTACTATTTGTCAGTAATTTATCACTAATGGTGAAAATGGCACATAAGTTTTGTTCATTCAGCTAGTTTCTACTGGAGGATCTGAAATTCAAACCTAGTCCCACCTGTAGTGGGGCACAGGGACCTAATCAGCACCCTGTGCTACCTCTACCTCTACTATCTATCTATCTGCTCTGAAGCCTGGTTTTCTGCTGTTTGTCCCTCTATCCATTTTAGCTCCCAGCTTAGCCCTATAGATAGTGCTTCCTCCAGCTTGCCTCCCCCAGTGTCCCAGGCATCTTAGTCTTGCCGTAAGCCCAGATACTTAACTAGCTAAGAATCTCGCACAACTTGTTGGGACTGGTATTTTCCTCTTGGTCTAATAGGAAAAACACGTTGTGCATATGTTACAGTTTGGGCCAATTTAGACAAGAACGCACAGACTTTAGGACCAGAAGCTCTGGTTTTACCCTTAAACCACATGTATAGCAGGACACATGGTTTGGTATTGATTATTAAGTGTGATCATTCACAGCTGACAAAGAGGTTGCTCATGGCTGTTATGATCAATGGATAGCTTGGTTTAGTTATGAAAATACAGCTGAGGGGATCCCCGGGTGGCTCAGTAGTTTGGCGCCTGCCTTTGGCCTGGGGCGCGATCCTGGGGTCCCGAGATCGAGTCCCGCATCGGGCTCCCTGCATAGGGCCTGCTTCTCCCTCTGCTTGCGTCTCTGCCTCTCTCTCTCTCTGTCTATCATGAATAAATAAATAAATCTTTTTTAAAAAAAGAAAAGAAAATACAGCTGATATATTGTGTTTTTTGTTTATATCTAGCTTGAATATCAAGTTGTAGAGAGATATATTTGAAGCAATCAGCACAGGATAGAGAAGTGGGGATACAAACACACACACACACACATCTAGGCAATAAATATGAAGGTTTCTTGGAACATTAGAAAGTGAAACACAAAGTGCAAGGGACTATTTTCATTACTGGGACTAAAAGCTCTCCCCCCACCTGCCCCCTTCCTTCTGCCTTCCCTATTACTATTTTGCTACCCTGGTCACCTGGGGGAAGACACTGCATCATCTCTAGCAATCCCATTTCCCTTGCCTCCTCCCCCACTCCAAGTAGCCATCAATTGTGTCAGTTAAGCCACCACTCCCCATGTTGCTCTCTCCCTTCTAATCATCCTAGTGATTCTGCTCTCATTCAGATCTATACAATTCCATTTCTAGGAGAAAAAGGGCTCCAGCCTGCTCTTCCTGTAAACACTTTTGCCTGACCTATTAGAGGGTCACCTTGAAGAACAGTTCTGACATGCAGTGTCCCTGTTTGAAAATTTTCTGTAACTTCATCTTTGCTTACAAGAGAAAGTGCAGGTTCTTGGCTCAATATTCAAGGCCCAGCACTAGCCTGTCTAGCCTGCCACTCCAGCTTTATCTCCGACAATGCCTCTTCATGCAAATTCTCCCAGCAAACTCCTCCTTGTTTTCTATCAAACACCACACATTTCTGATTTCAATACCTTGACTGGCTCTATGCTTGGAATGTCCATCTCTGCACCTCTGCCAGTAAGGCCCATCTGTTGCTGCAAGTCTCAAGTCCATGTAAATAAAGCACAGGCTCCTCCTTCTAATTGCAGTTTCCAGAACTGCCCAACCAGAGGGATATCTGGTCTTCCTGGGGACTCCAGGGCATCCTGACTTTTAACCTTGTGCTAGTAATTTCTGAGAGAAGTCCCTTTTCTTCTCTTGAGCCACATATGTGAGAGCCAAGACTACGTGCAAGGCCTTGCTTTCTATCTGTCCATTGCCAAGGCTGTGGCCTGGCATAGACAAGCACGCAGGAAGTACTTGGAGAGCTGCAACACAGTAATCATGCCCTGCCTTTTACAAGGCTCATGAGTTTCCACAGGTCCTTGCAGTTATCCTATTGGATGAGGTGGGTAAGGAAGATGGTAAAGTGTGATTAATCTCCACCCTTAAGAGAAAGGTGTCCCAGATGGGTCCTCTGATTAGGGCGCTGTAACTGCCTGCCTCTTTTGGCTGCCTTGGACTCAGTCACTTATTCAGCAAATATAACTAATGCTGGCCATTAAGCACTGCGCTCTACCCAGGGGAGTTCCATCTCTTGGAACTCCAGTGTCAGTGGAGGAGGGGACATCCATATAAGACATTTCAAGCCTAAGGCCGCTCTCCGCAGCACTCTGGTGCTGGACAGGAAGGCAGGCAGATGGTGCACAGCTTTCTTCTTGTAGTATGCTTGGGAATGCTCTGCATGTGCTTCATTCCTGCTCTGCAGCATATTGCCCTAGGGCAAGAGTGGCTATATCATTTGCAGGGCTGAGGGAAAAAATAAAAATGCAGAGGCATGTACTCAACAATTATTAAGAATTTCAAGAGGAGGACGGCAAAGCATCAAGCAAAGTGGGGCCCTTCTGCACAGGTCACAAGCCCATGAAGTTTGCCCTGCCACATGGCTAGGAAGCATGCACACAAGAGGTCTGAATGTGTCCTGCAGTCTTTTCTTTTCCCTCGCACAGAGGCTGAAGGAGCCTAGATCCCAGTAAACTCGGTGGCAAAAGAACACACACAGCTGCACACAGGCCAGAAACAAATATTTGTGTAGTGCCTCCTGTGTCCCCAGAACTCCTATAAGTTTCATAGATATGGTTGAAAACCAGACACACATGTTTTTTGGTTTGATTTGGCTTGGTTTCTGTCACTGAGCTTGCTCCAGTTGGGGAAACCCACTATAAACAAGCTCACAAAGAAATGCCCAGGAACATCATCAGTTAGTGGGCAGTTTTGTGGAGATGATGAAGCAGAGTGATGGGGTAGGGGTAGGGCAGTGGAGAGGGAGTATTAGGTTAGCTTGATACAGCAAAGGCTCTCCAAGGAGACTACTGCTAGCTATGATGCACATGGCCCCTTCTAGAGCAACAGGTGAGGATGCTGCTGATGTTCAGCATCAACTTGGCAGGCAAATTTCTGCAATCTTTTTCCCTCTCAAGCAAATCCTGAGGGTCTCAGTGACAACGAGGATGCTTGAGACTCTTCACTATCACCACTGTTTGAGGGCAGTGACCGCCACCCTCATCCCCACCCCCAGTGTCTACTCACTTCTACTTCTGGCATGACTGAGAGCCAAGTCTCCAGAAAGATTTGGCCAGCCAGTCTTGGAGAGGAGGTTTTTGAGGTCCCTCCACCCTCAGATGGTCCCTCTCACACCCAGGCCCCAGGGCTAAACCTGAGTCAGTCAGTGCCTCCATGTGGCTCCGGGAAAGTGCTCCAGGGATTGCTTAGGCCTGGTCCTTTGTGGTGGGTCCTCCCCACCCCCCACCCTCAACACCTGAGAAACTGGCCTGTGAAGTAGCTGAGACCAGAGCCTGCTGGAGAGACACCCCCACCCAAGTGTCTCTTCTTCCCCTGTGCCAAGGAAGGTACTCAGTTACCCAGCTTCCTTCGGATGTCTAGAGATGTACTCTGAAGGACCTGAAGGTCTGGAGGTGGGGTAAGGGAAATCTCAGAGGCCAGGAGATCTGGACAAGCAACAGGTGATAGGGGAGGGAGTCTAGGGCAGGCAGCCACAGTTCGATCCCGCAGTGCGCTAGCGGACTGGAGGGGGTCTAGAAGGAGGCAGGAACCCCCCCCCCCGCCCCTGCATCTCCCCTTTCCAGGCCCAGTGTGTGGCCGTCCTCTCAGCCGCCGCCGCCGGCCTCCGGTTTCCCCCGCCTGGGGCCCGCGCCGCGGCTCGCCTCTTCCTCCCTTCCCCCGTCCCCCGCCCCTGGCAGTCTGGCAGCGCCGCAGTCGTGGCGGCGGGGGAGCGGGGGGCCTTGGCGACCGGGCTCCCTCCTCTTCGCCCTCCTCCTGCCTCCCGCCCGCGCGAGCCTATCCACCCCACTCTCCGCAGCGGCAGCAAACACGTCGTCGGAGATTTCCATCGGGGCTCAGGGGGCGGGGCCAGGGTGGGGGGCGTGGGGCGGGGCGAGTGGGAGGAGTGGAAGTTGGAGCTCAACAAAACCCCGCACACCGCGCTCGGTGCGGCCAGACCGTGCGCAGCGACCTCCACGCAGGTGGTCGCGCCGGTCCCCACCACGATGTTAGCCAAAGTTCTCCTGATCCTCCTGGGCACGTCCATAATCCTCCCGTCTAGGTGAGTCTCCAGCCCTGGACCCAGAAACCCTCCGCGCCCAGCTCCCCCTCCCCTGGAGCTGGACCAGCTCCCCGGACCCCTGGGTCCCTGCGATCCTCGAGCCCCGCGCCCACCTTTTCCCGGCCACTGCGCGGGCCAGCCGGGCCCCGGGGCCCGGCGACGCGCCACCGGCCTCCAACTCGCTCCCTCTAGGATGGGGGCCCCAGACCCCTGAGGGGGCGCCCAGGAAGGAAGGCGGGAAGCCTGTTCCCTGGCCGCCCCGCGCCCCAGACTCCCGCTCTCCAAAACCACGGCGAGGGCCGGGGGACTAGCACGCTTCTCCCTCCTTGACTCTTCCGTGGGAAGAGGCTAGCGGCCCGCGGGGTAACTGGCCAAGGTAAGCTCGTGCTTCTGAGGCCGGGGTGGGGGTGTGTGGGGGGGGAGGCTTTGGGAAGATGGAACCCGGGAGGGCGCCCGGGCTTGGGGAGCCAAACTGCGCCTAAATGCTGGAGCGTTGGCTTGCGTGTCCTCTCGAATTTCTTTTTCTGAGCGCCTACTAACTACCAGGCACTGCGCCAGATAACTCTGACTTTACTTGCTTCCCTTCCCGCCGCTCCTCTCGTTGCCAGTCCCAGGCACGAGCCCCAGTTTACTCCAAGGATTCCCGCCCGTTATCCAGCCCCCTCCTCTCGGCCCAGCCTCCCCTTCCTGCATCCACCGCCGCCCCCCAACCCCTCACCCCCCACTCCCCACCCCCACCAGCACCAAACACCCTACTGGGTCTCGGACTGACCGAGCCAGAGGCCAAGAATGTTATTCTCTGAGGTCTGAGGTTTGGGTCCCGGATTTCCATCCCCACCCGCTTTTCCAAAGGCTAACAGCAGGTTTCCCTCGAGCAACCAGCTTCCCTTACACTTTCTTCTGGCCCCAGGACTTCACTCGGAAGGTTATTCCCTGAACTTCTGACTTTTTAGAGTAGAAAATGACTGCTTCATATTTTTGAGACAGTTTCCATTCCACAAGTCTCTCTGTCTTGGTTCTCTGTTTTGGGCAGAGGGGAGATGGTTTCTCCCCTCACCCCACAATGCTTCAGCTCCTCAGGGAAGGGGCTGTAGGGCTCCCTGCTGGCTCACCGGAGCCCTGGGGTGTGGGGGTTGGCCTCAGCAGGGGCTTGGCAAATATTTCTGAATGCGTGCTAGGAATTTCCAGTCATCCACATCCTTCCAGATATGAATTGGACTGTTTGGGAGAGCTGGCATGGTTATTGGCTAGGGCAAAAGAAGGGTCTCAGAGTGGGGGCAAAAGGAAGCCGGGAGGAACTGGGAAGAACAGCTAGGAACAGGGGCTGTTGACATGGAAACTACTCTTGCTGTCAGTGGAGGGGGCAAGGGAGGAAGGCCCCAGGGAGGATGGGCCGCAGCAAGTGGTGTTCAGACACTGTCAACATGGCAACCCATGATGTCAGCAAAGAGCTAAAGGTGGCCATGCAGTGTGTTGGCAAGAGACACATCAAACCAGGAAACCTTGCTCTGGTCCAGGCTCAGCCTCAAATGGTGGTGACTTTGGGCTCAGCCCTTCCCCCACATGGGGCTCAGTTTCTTACCCGAAAGGTTAAAAAGAGGGCTGATATGGGGGGAAAAAACAAACAAGCCAGCGGGCCCCCTCCTGGAGCTTTGCCAGTCCCCTCTTCCTCTCCTTCCATCCCCCACAGTTAGTTGGAAGAGCATCCTCACTAGTGGGAAGGGGTGCAGAGTTTCAGCTCCATCTTGGACTATTGCATCTAGAGGGATGTGGGTGCATGAAAAGTCCCCATGGAAAGATTCCACTAGCCCAGTACATGAGTGTTTTTCAAGCTTTTATTATTTCTAGTCCTGAAAGGGGGCTTAGTGTCTGGCTGAGGAAAGGTATGCAGTGTCAGCAGCTCCTTAACCTCAAGGATCCCAGGATGAGCATGTCTGTTTTGTTTGTATTTTTACTGGTGAAGGCTGACTGGAGAATTACAACAACCTCAGGACCTTCTGATATCATTTTCATCGCAGACATAGTTTGAAGCAGAGGGGCTTCAGTGATCCCTGGGCTTTTCTTGTGTGCCTCTTGAACGTTGGGGCTCTTGTTGTCGGCTTCAGACACTTGGGAGGAGCTGCTGCAGGCTCTTGGGTGGTCTTGGCTGGCAGTGCCCCATTCTGATTATACCGTGCTCATGGCCACGTCACACAGGCCTCTTCTCCCTCTCCCTCGGCCCCTCCAAAAGTCAGAGGACTGGGGGGATGGATGCCTCAGCGAAAGAGGACATTTCTGCATGTGTTATTTGGAAACGGAAACTGCCTTTCTCAAGCCCAGCTCTTCCCTTGCCCACAGTGGGAATTAACCACTTCAGACATGAAAAATGGCATAAATCTGGCACATCTGTATGCCAGTTAGGCAATTCTAAGAGCTTGAGATACTGCAGGAAAATGCTTTTAGCTGCACAAGTTGTCAGGCCCCTGTTCTGCACCACAGAAGCCATGCCTGTGGCTCCACCTACTCCCCCTCTGCTGCAAGCTTTACCACATGCCCTCCCAGTACACTCTCTTACCCAAAACAATCCACTCTCCTGCTTTACAATATTATAGACTAACTTTGCCGATGGCTTTCAAAAAAGCTTTTAATTTTGATTTTTTTCAAAGATACATAAAAGTACATACAGTAGAGTGAAACCCCATGTACCCATCACCAGCCCTGTTATTACCAATTCACGGCCACACTTCATCTCTCTATCCCCCACCACTCTCCATTTCAGCTTAAATTATTCTAAAGCAAATCTCAGACATCATATCATTTCATATGCAATTATTTTAGTATGCATTTCTAAATGCCAGGACTCCAAACACATAATAAAATACCACTATTATGCCAAAAAAATTAGAATGAATTTGTCATGGTGAAGACAAAATGGGATTTTTTAAAAATAAAGAATTACCATAAAGGAGGGATAGTATGGAAAGTCCCCAGAGAGCAGAAAGATTTAGAATAAATTAACAAATATAATCTGTTGCTGGCTCAAAATTTGCTCTATCCAGTGTTCGAATCTCCCCTGTTGTGTCATAAATGTTTTTTTGTTTTGTGTTGTGTTTTAGTTTGCCTTTGCAAATCAGGAGCCAAATAAGATCCATACATTTGCAGATTTTTATCAGCATTTATTTTTCAAAACACTTTTTTTATTGAATTAGAACGTATATACAGAAAAGTGCTCAAATCATTATTGTGTAGCTGATGAGTTGTCAGAAAATGACCACACCAGTGTTAGTACCCCACATCAGGCACTAGAACATGACTGGAATCTCAGAAGCCCCCTGATGCCCACTTCCTCACTGCAAAAGTACCAGGACTCTTAACTTCTAACACCTTCGGCGAGTTTCCTACATTGCCAGATGGCTTTTTTAATTTTCATTTAATTTAATTTAATTCTTATTTTTTGGCTGTGGCACTCATGCTGAGATCTAGTCTACCATCTCTCCTAGAAGACAGTCTCTGAGTAATGGACTCCTGCCTTTTCTCAGTGCTCAGAGTTTCCCACTGCCCCCAATTTGAAAGCAGTGAATATCACAAAAGCAAAGAAATGCAGAATATTCCCACGGTGTCCTGGTGTCCTGGCCCTCCATGGGAGAGGCTGTTCTGGCTTTCCTGAGCATTCCTCAGCGATCCTGGCCCCCTGCCCACCCATTTGCTCCCCAGTGGTGCTGGTCAGGCCGACTGGAGACCAGGGTTGGTAATGGCAGCTGATTGGCCAAAGCTCCTACAGTAATATCTCCTTCATCTTACATTGAGAAGTTCTTTTAAAATCTTTAGCTTGGTTTTGTTACTGGGATTTTTTTAAAATAAAGAATTACCATAAAGGAGGGATACTATGGAAAGTCCCCAGAGAGCAGAAAGATTTAGAAGAAATTAACAAATATAATCTGTTGCTGGCTCAAAATTTGCTCTTACCAGTCACTCTTTATGCCTTGGATACAGATTTATGTGGGTTTGCTTCTGTCCAAAAAGGCCTCAGCCAGGGCCCCTACAGAGTGGAGAACAGAGCTTCATTTTATGTTTGTTTTTATGTTCTAGGAGCGAAGGACCTCACGTTGAATCAGAAAGTGCACCCTCTGCCCGTGATGATGTGTATGGGCCTCAGCCCCAGGCTCCTGAAGAGAAGCTCCTCTCTGAAGAAACAAAGTCCACCATGAGGCTTGGAAATCTGCCAGCAGCCACTCACATCCTGAACAGTATCCTGAATAACTATGACCACAAACTGCGCCCTGGCATAGGTGGTGAGTAGCAGAACCTAACTCTTCCCCCTCGTGGAGTGGGAGGGTGAGGGCAAGGGGTGGAGAATGAGTGTGGGCTATAGGTGAGGGCAGGAACATCTGTTGCTGATATCAACTCTAGTCTCAGCACTGCTCTTGACCTTGATCTAGACTTTTTTTTTCCTTTTCTCACCCTCAGTTTTTCCAACTCTATGATAAGGTGAGTAGACTAGATCAGTGACCTTCAAGCTATGGCCAGCTCTTAACAGTCAATGAATTGGATCTTAAGATGAAAGAACAAAGAAAGAAATAGGATTGGATGTTGAAACCATGTCCCTAGTCATCACCCATATCCCTGTTTTCCCCTCTGACCCTGCTGCCCCCTGTCCCATGCCCTTGTTTGACACTTACCTGTGCCACTTCTGCTTCCTTTACAGAAAGGCCCACTGTGGTCACTGTCGAGCTCTCTGTCAATACCCTTGGCCCTATCTCTATCATGGACATGGTGAGTACTGATCTTTTTGTAATTAGAGTGTCTCATAGCCCAGGGTGCTGACCCATGGGGCCTTTAACATACTTGGTTTTTTTTTTTTTTTTTTTGGTTCTGTGTCTCCATAAGAGTTTTTGGTTTTGGTTTTGGTTTTGGAGCAGGAGTATTGAAACCAACACTGACTCTGAAAGGTGGGAAAAGGTAAATCCCTTGCTGCCTGAAGAGGACCTTCAGAATCCTGACCATATCTTCTAGTCTTCCATTCAAGATAAAAATAATAAAGTAACTTTGAACACCACAACAAAACGGCTCTTTTTTTCTGACAATGGTTTCTATAGACTTAAGTCTAGAGTTACTAACTATTGCTGTAAGACTGCTTTTCTCCTGTTGGCCTGGTTCCCTCTTTCCTTTTCCATTGTCATCATTCTAGTGTCAAGACTGTCCTCAGGGAGCTTCTATTATCTCTCCTTGAAATATGCAAAAGTCAAAGTCGCTGCCTATGCCAGTCTACATACTGACCTGGCCTCGTGTGTGATGTGCCTCCTGCAGTTCTAATGGCCTACACCCTGAAGTTCAACACTACACTCTACTGGTCAAGGCCCTCCATGGTTGGAGCCAGCTGAGGCTCTGGTTTTATTTTTCCCCCCACTCCTTTAGAGACCGCGTGTGCTCTAGTCACACTAGAGTATGGGTGTTACCAAATCACCTTGTACCTTTGGGTCTTTGTTCAAGCTATTTCCTGCTTGGAATGCCACTGCTATAATTTTCTACTTGCCACAAGCCTTATCCTTCCCAGCCCCTCTCAAATGGCATCTCTTCCATGGCATCTTCCCTGACCTCCACAGCTATAAATTGTTCCCTTCATACTCACACCATTCTCCTCTCTTTAGGATTCATATTTTTCTAGCTTATATCATAGTTATTTACCTGATCTTCTATACCTCATTGTACTGTAATTAGCTGCTGTTTGTCTGCCTTGCTCTCACCATCATGGTTTCCTTGGTGTCAAAGACTCAGTGTATGCTAACTGTGGAAATGAATTATGAAAGATGTCATATAAAAGTGACCTGTTTTTCCCTGATACCTAACAAGCCCGAGGGATACGGTCTAATAACTTAGCAGTCGCTGAACCTGGCATGCAACACAGAACTGGTCCAAAGAGGAGCCAACAACTTGATTTTCTTTGGCCAATAAAGTGCTGCTTTAGCCTAGGCCAAGTGCTGTTAGGAGATGCCAAAGACTCATGTGGTATTAAGTTTCCCCCAAGAAGCCTGGTCTTTTACATAATACCAAATAGTGCTTTACAACTGTGGGAGTTCTCAGTTCTTGTACAGTCTACTTTTCCCTTGTGACACTGGAGTTTTGTACTTGGTAAAGAGGGAGTGTGTGTGTCTTTCTCACACAGCCAATGAACAGAGCATACTTGTCTCCTTGGATCCTCACGACAGCCTGTATGGCAGGCAAGGCTGCCATTAGGATCTTCATTTTACATTTGAAGCAACTGGGTATCTCAGCAAGCATTCTGTTACAGGAGGGGTGTGGTTGTTTGAAGAGAGTTCCAACACCCCTCAGTTAATCAGATGTTGTGTAGAGCATAGGATTAGTTCCTAGAGAGAGAAACCTGAGCCCATAGCATGGAGATTTAAATCAAATGTTTCTACCTGTTTCCTGGTTAAATTTTTGAAACACCTAGCCTGAGCTTAGAAGTCAATGACCAGTCTGGGAATGACTGCCCATCATAACATCAACAGTTGCTAAGGCTTCTTCTTGCTGTGATAATTATTGTGAGCAACCCTAATTAAGCCAATTCCTTGACACTGAATTTCTAGAGTTTCAGGTGAGCTAAAAAAGATGTACAACCCAAGCTCCCTTGTCAAACTGAGGAAAAATTTAACTCCTAGTTATCAGTTGCTGTGTAATGAACTTACAATTGGTATCTTATTAAATAGAAATTAAATGCTCATTTGAAACACTATAACATACAGCAGGAGCACAGCCTGTATTGTGGAGGGAAGACTTCCCCTAGCTACCAAGCAGTTCACATGGCCTTGGAATGAAGGAGGTTCCATAAGCCAAGTTGGAACTGCCAGCTACTTGGGACTGTAGAAACACTCTGAAGGCCACCTATGAAGGCTGGCAGGGCTGGATGGGGCAGGGCTGAGGGCTCCCATGTGGATGATAGCTTGGCTTTTTTCTGTCTGCTTCTCTGGATTACTCCAGGGAACCTTCTCAGTCTGGAAGGCCAGCTCTTGGCAGTTTGGCAATGGCTCTCATCACCTTTTGGCCTGGGCCACAAAGCCAAGCTGGGATTGTTTCGACCTTTCCCCTGGGGGCTCTACTGGCCTCCAAACTGTGGGTTTTTGGGTGGTGTTCATTGTTGGATGGAGGATAACTCAGGAGAAAGACCTAGGAATTCTACAGGGGAAAATTGGACCTTGACACCCAAAGGGATTGTTGGTGCAAGTGAAATAAGTACTAGAGAGGGAAATCAGTGAAGGCCGTGCCAGGGCAAGGTCATGGTAATGGTGTTCTAAGCACCAGAGCCAATATGCTGCCATTAGCTATCTGTGTGACTTTGCACAGGCCCTTTTCTCTCTGAGCCTCAAAAGTAAAGGAGGTTGGGCTAGCCCTAAGGCTCCCCCTAGGCCTAGTTCTGGCACTTGCTCTTCACACTGCTTGCAGTTCTACTGCAGTCTGTTTTTTACCCTTTAATACCAGGAGTGCGAATCTCTAGCTTCTCATGCTTCTTCCTGTTAAACATCCTTCTCATGTTTAACAGTTTATGGGATAGGCAATATCACCTGGAGATCAAATAGTTATGGGTATAGCTATGCAGACGCACAAGCACATTCAGAGGTTAGGTGCCCTTGTTTAAAAGGAAAAGCAGAGATACCTGGGTGGTTCGCTGGTTGCGTGTCTGCCTTCAGCTCAGGGCATGATCCTGGAGCCCGGGGATTGAGTCCAGCATCAGGCTCCCCCTCAGGGAGCCTGCTCCTCCCTCTGCCTATGTCTCTGCCTCTCTCTCTGTATCTCTCATGAATAAAAAAATAAAATATTTTTAAGAAATAAAAGGAAAAACAAAACAAAACAATTATTCAAAAAACATGAGACTAAACACACACTTCTCTTATGATTCAAAGCACTTCATTTTTAAGTATAACTCTGGAGAATGAAGGATTGAGGTTAATTAACATTTGTGCTCCCCTAATAAAAGCTGAAAGGGGAAACTCCAGCATATACAACCAAAGGGGTGTGTGTTTATAAATGTTCAAGATGATTTTGAGTTGAGATCTTTGGTTTGCTATGGAAATGTGGGGGCTGAGAGGGTGTTAACCTGGCTGGAGTAATCCCATAACCCTACAAGGCAGTGGTGATGTGATGAGACCAGTCTGTGCAATTAAACCACCATTGCCTGTCTGTTTCAAGATGAAATGTGTCTTCCCTGACTGTTGTTTATCTGGGAATGTTCCTTTCTTTTGAGAATGTCTGGAAATAGATAACTCCTACAGTATAATTCATGCTCTTTTCCTCTGTGCAAACCTAAGTACGTTCCTATCTACTTGATAGACTCTTCACAGGATGGCATGAGAATATTCTTTGCCTGTATAGCTCTAGGTGTGTGCTTTTCTATCAATCCCACCAGGAATACACCATTGACATCACCTTCTGCCAGACCTGGTATGATGAGCGCCTCCGTTACAATGGCAGCTTTGAGAGCTTTGTTCTGAATGGAAACATGGTGAGCCAGCTTTGGATCCCAGACACGGTCTTTAGGAATTCTAAGAGGACTCAAGAGCATGTGATCACCATGCCGAACCAGATGGTTCGCATCCACAAGGATGGCAAGGTGTTGTACACAATTAGGTATGTCAAGCCTCTGGAATATTACCTCTTGGGACTCTTTTCACCAAAGAACCATGGACATAGGTTTCATCCCCAATGATACTTCTAAGGGCCTTTCCAGCTTTACTAGACCATGAGTTCTACCCCCTTCATATATAAACACAGACACTGGCCTCAAAATAGAAAGATTACTTAAGACCAAACACCAAGTTCATGGCAGAGCTGGGACTCGTACCCAGTTACTTGCCTCCTAGTCCATAGGTCCCCCCACTAAGAGTATGACTGCATTGCCTGGACAATTCCATCCCAAGTGGGCACTGGATGTAGAAACACGTCCACGGTGGTGGAATTGTCCAGGCGGAGCAGCAACACAGCGGCTGGAAAGACACCTAAGAGCAGGCTAGACATTTGAATGCCTGGTGGGAGAAGGTTGTATATCAGTGGTATGAGGTGGGAAGGTGGTACAGAGTAGGAGAATGTTGGGAAGTCCTGGAAGCTGGGATGGGCAAACAACAAAAGCCCATCTAAAGTGGTCCACACATTTCTCTGATGATGGAAGCCAAAGTAGCCAGATACTTTCAAGCTGTTCTTCCACTCTTTTTGTCTCTCCTTTGAGCTCTTTGTTTCAAATCCTACTATTGCCACTCATTGGTGGTGGTTCCCAGGCCCAAAATGGGTGGATACCTAAGTGCTCAGGGCCAGCCTAATGAGGCTCCTTTCTCCCTTCCAGGATGACCATTGATGCTGGATGTTTACTCTACATGCTCAAATTTCCAATGGATTCTCACTCTTGCCCTCTGTCTTTCTCTAGCTGTGAGTACCTTTTTAGGTCTCTGGGGCCCCAGAATCATACTGAGCCCCTTCTTTTTCCTCATCCTTGCCCTTTACATTTTTCTGCCTCTGCTTTTCTCCTAAAATGGTGCCAGATTTGCCCAGAGCCTCCTCATCTCCTTTCCTGCTGACAATACTGTGTTGCTTCACTGGGCCTCGTGTTGGGTTCTTCCCTCTTCTTTCCACCCCATCTCAAGTCAGTCACACACCTCTGAAGTATAATTCAAGTATGTCTGCTCCTTTCCATTGCCACTGTCAGTACGTTGGTTTAGGTCTTTGCCATCTCCCACTTGGGCTTTCACAACACCTTCACTTTAAAACTGAACATGTCCAGAACTAAATACATTGCTTCCCCCGAGTCTCTACCCCCCAAAACAAATGTGTTGCTTTTGTGTTCACATTTGTCTCGTTGAAAGGCACCATCACCCTCTCAGTTGCCCAAGCCAAGAACTTTGATGATTCTTTTTCCATCACCTCCTACATCTAATCAATTGACACATATTATTGATTTTCCCTCCTGAGTGTCTGTTGATCCTGTCTATTTCTCTGCATTCTCACTGCCACAGCTTTGATTCCTACCTTCATTCATTTTATTGTGCGCAGATTCCTGCACTGGCCTCCCAAAACTGGTCTCCCTATCAACAAACCATCTTCATATAATGACAAGGGTGACCTAGCTGAAGCATCATCTAGACCAGGTCATGTTTTAGTTTTGAATCCTCCCTCAACTGTCATGGATCAATTTCAAATTCTTTAGAATGACCCTCAAAGTATTTCATTAACTGGCCCCTATCACTCATTCCTGTATGCTTCATCCAGCGTCTGTGAGCTAGCCATCCTGAACTTTCGGCATTTCCATAATCCATCAGGCATTTTCACCTTTCTGTGCATAGAAAACCCTCCTCACCTTTGCAGCCTCACCCATACAGAGAATATTTACTTAGCTTTTAAGATTTATAGGAAATGTCACCTGCTCTATGAAATCTTTGTTGGGTGTATCCCCAAGTGGTCTTTCATCCCTCCTCTGTTTTTCTACTGTCCCATGGGTGGAAGTTTCTCAGCAATTTCAACAATTACAAATGTATACTTACTATCTTACTCAATAAAATGTGAATGCTTGAGGGCAAGGTGTCTGCCTTGCTCATCTTTGTGTTTCCAGCACAGAGCCTGGTACTAAGGAGTGCTCAGTAAATGCATGTATTGAATGGACTTCAACAACGAGGTAAGAGAGGCAAGGTCCTACAGCTGGTGAGGCCAGAGTCAGGACTCCAAGGCATTGCTTAGACTCCATGTTGGTAGAGACAGCTGGGCTTCCCAGTCTCACATGACCCTCCTTCCCATGTTGCTTTACAGTTTCCTATCCTGAGAGTGAAATGATCTACAAATGGGAAAATTTCAAGCTTGAGATTGATGAGAGGAATTCCTGGAAGCTCTTTCAGTTTGATTTTACAGGAGTGACCAACACTACTGAAACTATCTCAACCCCAGCTGGTATGTACACTTTTGAAACCAGGGCGAGGCAGAGGCCCAGGAGGGTGGTGAGGATGACTGTAGGTGGCCACATATAAATGTATGTAATCATCCCATGGAAATATTGTAGAACATGACTCCTGTCTTGGAAATGCTAAGCACTTACAACTGTTTGCAGAGGAAACTGAGACTTTGTAACTACATCTCAGTCTCATCTGCAAAGAAGTAAGTGCTTTGCCAAGTCCCTCAGAGGACAGGTAAGTAGCTAAAGTTTTATTGCTGTCAGGATTTGCACCTAGCTCTATCATGCCGACCCTTCAGTTTCTAGTTATTTGCTACAACCGGCTTATTTGGATGACTGGGGAATTGAGCTCATGTGAGTTCTCCATACCCAGAACCAATCCAAGCTGGTTGAGTGGGAAACAAAGTTGGCCCTAATGGGAAGTGGAGGCTAGAGTTCTAATGTCGGCTGGGTGAGGGCTGGGATGGTATGGGGGAAGTTTCAGCTGTTACCACTGCTACTGCGTCAACATTTATTTTAAAGAAGCAGCTCTGAGAAGGACAGACTCCCGCCAAAGGCTTCATGGTGGATTCAACATGGACATGGTGACCATTGGTTTCCTGACTTTGTCCCTGACAAGGACTAAGGGGGCGGGGGGGCTGGATCTTTTCCACATCAGCTTCCAATCAGATATGAGTGTCTTTGCTTGTGTTCCTAGGTGATCTCAATGAGAAGCTAAGGGATCTCCCCAGGGTTGCTCCTGGAGCATCCCTGGAAACCCTCTTCACACTGACCAAGTCAGGGCAGTGGAGGCACTGCTCTCATCGTTTCAAGAATGCAGATGGAACCAGTCACCAAACCAGCTATTTACCATAGGAGTCTTGCTTTGCTTCTGTGTGGCTAGGCAGACAATCTGCTTTTGCTTTACTTACTGAGTTGGTCACTGGGTGAGGAATAGCTCGTGCTCATCCAGCTAGAGCTTTGCTTACACAGTACTAGGCCAGAGCAGGGGTGGGCTGTTTTGCAAATGCTTTTCTTTTTCTTGGGCTCTCTGGGTAAGCAGTTGTGCCACCTTTGACTCGGGATCCTTGCTCTTCTGCCAGCTAACCATGGGCCTGCCTCTTGCCTTTCTGCACCTCAGTTTTCCCAGACAGGTGGGGACCCATCATCAAAAGCGGCAGAAGAGACAAGGCCCAGGGGCTTTCAAGTCACTAGTGGTTCCGTTTAGTAGATGATTATGCATTGTTTCAAAATGGTGCCCTAGTGACTACAAAGCCCCAGAGCCAGCATCATCAGCAAAGTAATGGCAATAGGTAAGCACTGGCCCTCCTTGGGAAAGAGGAGGGTTCTTGGGGGAAAAGAAGGGCTTCTTTTGCTTTTACTAGAGGCTATTTGTCCTTGAATTATGCTTTCTCCAGCATCATAGTTCTTTTTGAGGCTGGGCTCAAACTCTTCCTAACAGCCTCTGGGCAGTTCTTTCTATCTGAAGCAGATTTATGTACTTGGTTCCTAAGGGTTCAGAATGTGGTGGTAGATTGCTACTTTGGTCACCTAGGGCCACAAACCAGAGAATCTCTGGTTCAGAAGGCTTTCAGAGTCCAGCCTTGCCCCCAGTGAGTGAGTTAAGTTTCACTGGTGGCTGTTGAGACTCTGATGGATCTTACCCATGATCAGGACTTCCTTTCTCACAAGGGAGCTTCTTCCTTCTCTGAAAAACTCTGTCCATCAGAAAACTTCCCGTTCATCTGAAATTGGAGTTTCTGCAACTCTTACCCATTGGAACTCTTTTTCCCTAGAACTACTGAACTTATGGTAAACCCAGTCACTCTTCCATGGGGTCAAGATTAAAGGACCAGTATTTTGGTCCCAGCCCAGAGTCACAATCTTTTATAGACTCTACAGTCTAGTTCCTTTTCCTTCCTTTGTTCTTCATGGCTTTGGGCCCACTCATTCTGCTAGTCCAGTCCTCTGGACTAGACTATTAAATTATGTTCCTCTGACAGTGCAGTGTCCAACTCTGGTCTGGCCAAATGAGAGAAAAGCAGAAGAATCTTTTAGTTTTTGGTGGGGGTGTTTGGCTTTGGCTTTGGCTTTAGCTCCTTAGCCCCAGATATGTATTTTCCCTTGCCCATCCTCCTTTATTCCTCGGGAATAAGAAATTATGTGTTAGTATCCTTCCCTCAACTTTCAGAGACAAACTTCCATATCTTGAGAAGTGGAGAAGGTTGTTCTTTGGCTGGAATAAATAAAATAAACATAGGAAAACCTGATAGGATAATAAATCTCAAAACAATAATATATGTCTCACAAGGAGTGGTTGTAGCTAAATAGGGGTGTCTTAAATTGCAGTCAAGACCCTGGGGCAAGAGAACAAGAACCCGATAAATATGTTCTGGCCAGTGGGCAAGTGTGAGTGGTTCCTGCTGCAGCCCTGGGGGAAGAGTTCTATCCCCAAAGCTACTACTCTGAATACAGATATTCAACTGACCCCAAGCCACATCCTTGCCTTTTTCCAGAAGATTCTGAGAACTCTTGCCCTTTAAGCGTCAGTGCTGCCAAGGTGAGTAGGAAAGGCTGCTCTCCTCGTTTTGCTCCAACAGAGAGCCTGGCTACACAGGTGATCTACTTTCCAAAACAAGAGGACACGTGGACATGTTAGTGTTCTGGTCTGTTTTACAAAGCTATTGCCAGACAGTAGTAGCAAGAGTCACTGAGCATCTGCTAGGTTCCAGCCCATGCTGGGCTAGGATGGGCAAGAGCCAAGCCACAGGGCTTACGTGAGAGATTTAAACCCTGACGGGGTTTAAAAACCTACCTAACTCAAAGCCAAGAAATTTTACAGCATCACTTATGTAGAAGTTTGGAACTTAGCTTCACTAAGGAGCCAGAATTTGAGCTATCACAAACCCTATGTGATATTGAAAATGAAATGGAAAGTCCTGGGCTCAGGAAAGCCCCCAGAATCTCTAGAGTCATCCTGGGCAGAGTGTTTGGGATGAGTGTGTCAGAGTATAAGGCAGCACGAATGGTATAATAGAAGATGCCAACTAGAGATGTAGGTTGTCATTAGGTACTATAAGAGCCATCACAGTGTAGGGGAAGAGCCAACATTAAGGACATGATGCCCCAATTTTCACTTTAAGCTAATTCTTCTATTTTCTTCAAACACTCAACTTGAATTAAGGTAATAGACTAAGAACAAGGAGTCTATAGTTTGGATAATGATGCAAATATGCAGGCTAAGTCAGAGAATTTGAGAATACATGGCATTAGCTTACAGGGAGGTGTGTATGTGCAGGTGTGTGTAAGATGTCAGTCGGAGCCAGGTCATGGTGGGCCTTTAGCATCAGGTTAGACTGTCCATTTGATTCTACAGGTGTTGTAGAATAGGGAACAATCAGAGTTTTGGGATGGACTAGTGATTTCTTTTGGCCTTTGATACAACAGTGCTAACTAAGGCATTTTACCAGCATATGAATGAATAGGAAGGAGGTCAAATGGATCCTGTGCTTCCCCCACCACAGCACAGGCCACCCTCAGCTTATTCTCTGACAGTATCCATTGTAAAGGCCAGTGGTACATGTGTCAGTCCATGATTCTGCAGACTAGATAGGGTACCTTGATGGATATGAAGGTCTGGACATTAGCCATGTGGCCCTGACAGCTAGTAGGCTGAGTTTTTCACTTTTCTAAAAAATATATTTATTTTTTATTAGAGTTCAATTGGCCAACATATAGCATAACAGCCAGTGCTCACCTGCCAATTGCCCCCCTCAGTGCCCGTCACCCAGTCACCCCAAACCCCCACCGACCTCCCTTTCCACTACCCCTTGTTCATGTCCCAGAGTTAGGTGTCTCTCATGTTTTGTCACCCTCGCTGATATTTTCACTCATTTTCTCTCCTTTTCCTTTATTCTCTTTCACTATTTTTATATTCCCCAAATGAATGAGACCATATAATGTTTGTCCTTCTCTGACTGACTTATTTCACTCAGCATAATACCCTCCAGTTCCATCCACATCGAAGCAAAGGATGGGTATTTGTCCTTTCTAATGTAATATTCCCTTATAGACACAGACCACAGCTTCTTTATCCATTCACCTTTCGATGGACACCGAGGATCCCTCCACAGTTTGGCTATTGTGGACATGGCTGCTAGAAACATCGGGGTGCAGGTGTCCCGGCGTTTCATTGCATCTGAATCTTTGGGGTAAATCCCTAACAGTGCAATTGCTGGGTCGTAGGGCAGGTCTATTTTTAATTCTTTGAGGAACCTCCACACAGTTTTCCAGAGTGGCTGCACCAGTTCACATTCCCACCAACAGTGCAAGAGGGTTCCCCTTTCTCCGCATCCTCTCAAACATTTCTGGTTTCCTGCCTTGTTAATTTTCCCCATTCTCACTGGTGTGAGGTGGTATCTCATTGTGGTTTTGATTTGTATTCCCCTGATGGCCAGTGATATGGAGCATTTTCTCATGTGCTTGTTGGCCATGTCTATGTCTTCCTCTCTGAAATTTCAGTTCATGTCTTTTGCCCATTTCATGATTGGATTGTTTGTTTCCTTGCTGTTGAGTTTAATAAGTTCTTTCTAGATCTTGATAACTAGCTCTTTATCAGATACATCATTGCAAATATCTTCTCCCATTCTGTAGGTTGTCTTTTAGTTTTGTTGACTTTTTCTTTTGCTGTGCAGAAGCTTCTTATCTTCATGAAGTCCCAAATTCATTTTTGCTTTTGTTTCCCTTGCATTCATGGATGTATCTTGCAAGAAGTTACTGTGGCCAAGTACAAAAAGGGTGTTGCCTGTGTTCTCCTCTAGGATTTTGATGGATTCTTGTCTCACATTTAGATCCTTCATCCATTTTGAGTTTATCTTTGTATCTGGTGTAACAGAATGGTCTAGTTTCATTCTTCTGCATGTGGATGTCCAATTTTCACAGCACCATTTATTGAAGAGACCATGTTTTTTCCACTGGAAAGTCTTTCCTCCTTTATCGAATATTAGTTGACCATAAAGTT